GTCTCATACCTTTACAAAAATTCTTGTATTGACTCCCCTGGCTCTAAGTAAGAATTGACACAATCCTGCAACTCTTTCGGTATACAGTACAGGCTAACTTATACCAGACCAGACCTTTTTCTTTCTCACTAGTATACTTACCTTAGCAGGAAATCTAACCTAGGTGCACATCTAAGTGACAACTCTGCACACCTTACAATCAGTTTCTAGACTTAATCCTTTCTATATACAGGAGATAATTTCTTTAGAGTTTTCTTAAGGGCTTTCCAAATTTCTGTCTGGGTCTGTGTTGGACATTCAAGATTTTCAATATACCCTTTTCTTTATGGATTCTCTGTAGTGTAAGAAAGACCATTTTATGACACAATCTTTGTCATCAAACTAATTGCCTCAGCCATTTGACCTCCCTAAGCTTATCTTCCATCTTCACCCCATTCCATGCCTCCACTGGTGATGTACTGAGAAATCATGATGTTATTGCACTCCACATATTCAGTTCAGTTCAGTCGCTCAGCTGTGTCCAACTCTTTGCGACCCCATGGACTGCAGCATGCCAGGCCTTCCTGTCTATCACCAACTCCTGGAGCTTGCTCAAACTCATGTCCATTGAGTCGGTGATGCCATCCAACCATCTCATCCTCTGTCATCCCCTTCTTCTCCCATCTTCAATCTTTCCCAGCATCAGGGTCTTTTCAAATGCGTTAGTTCTTCACATCAGGTGGCAAAGTAATGGAGTTTCAGCTTCAGCCTCAGTCCTTCCAATGAATATTTAGGACTGATTTCTTTTAGGATTGACTGGTTGGATCTCCTTGAAGTCCAAGGGACTCTCAAGAGTCTTCTCCAATACCACAGTTCAAAAGCATCAATTCTTTAGTGCTCAACTTTATAGTCTGCATATTCTATATACTCCACATATATTCTATATACTCCGCATATTACTAGTGTACCATTTCCTATATGGAGGGTACCTTCATGCTCCTCAAACCTGTGAGCAGCCCAAGCCTAGGATTACATTTTAAAATCCATTTGCTGGGACTACAACTAGTACCAATTACTGTTTTGTTCAAGGTCCAGAAGGAACCTGTTGGCAGATTCAAACTGGCTAATTTGAGAAGTACTTAGTCAAAGGACTATTTACAAAGATGACATGGTTTAAGGAAATTAAAAAAGTGAAGCACCTTAACCTAGCTACTTATGGGTTATTATGACCCATAAGCTGAGGAAGTAAAAAGAAGGAATGATCCCCAGAACTCAAAGAGAGTTGTAGAATAGGATGATTGGCCATCCAAATAGAGCTGGCATCTTGGGCCGATAAAATAAGTCACTTGCCAACAACTGACCAAGAGCCAGCGGAATAAATATCCCAACCTCTTTCTCTCATACCTCAAACTTCCTTCTGATGCTTCCTATTGATCAAATCCTACTAAGAGATATTATGCACTCACTGAGGCAGTGCATAAAGATCAGCCTCCAAGGGCACAAAGCTGAGAAGGGAAGGAAGGAAGGAAGAGCCGAAGAGGCACATGAAGACTAGCCAGGGAAACCAAATACTATTATCTTTTAATACATTTTTTGGATTTGGTTTGTTAATGTTTTGTTTAGGATTTTTGCATCTATATTCAGAGTGAAATTGGCCTATCATTTTCTTTCTTGTACTATCCTTGTCCAATTTTGATATCAGGGATACACTGGTCTCATAAGGTGGGGAGTATTCATTCTTTTTATATATATTAGAAGAAGAATATCTCGTAGAATCAGAATCTTTCATTCCTTCATTGCTCAAAAGTGACAGGAGATAATCTACCTAAACTACATAGAGCAAAAGCATTGTTACATAATCCTGCCTCACTTCAAATGGTTGGAGAATTGCCATCAACCACCCAGTGTTCCTGGAAAGACGAGAAAAACAGGATTTTCTACTTCTTGACTCATTTCTCTCTTTTTTCATTTTGAAGGTTTTCTGAGTCAAGAACTGTGAAGTATCCGAAATGTTACCCTAACTGCAAGCTAACAAGTTTGGTGCTGCAAGTTCATAAACGATAGAAGACATGAAACTCCTGGGTCAGAGATAAAGCACAATTTACTGTTCACAGAAACAACAGCAGCCAGAATATCACATTTTGCCCTAATTCCCCCTGGGTGATGCATGCACACAGTGAGCTGCTTTACAGGCTGAGAATGCAGGCTAAGAGATGCTGAGTCTTTTACAGGGAACAGTAAACACTATCTCTGTCTTCTAAGACTGCTTGTTTTACAAATATCCTTGGAAAAAGAGAACTAAGTACCTCTACTCAAAAGACAAGCAGAAACGTTAAAAACCTGTGGAGAATTGTTTCCCAATTGACTTTTTGTTTTAAACCTACTTTCATACCTAATGTAGAGATTATTAATTTATATTGTGAAAAACAATTTACCAAAATAAAGTAACTTCTTTTGCTCTGCTATTTTTCTTCTCAATTTCATCCTTGATATGAATATTGCCACCAGTTATTTTGGAGTTATAGAAGGTGTCTATTTGCATATGACTGATATAGTGTTGCTAAATATCCTTAAATGCCATCTTATTGGGGATACGTATCTAGCACGTAGCTTGTAATTCACTCCTTTGATACCACATGAGAATAACTGTCCTTTACTAGAATTTTAACCCATTCAAATTTATGCAGTGATTTTTTTTTTTGCACTGTGATATTTTTAATCTTGTTTTTCTCTCATGTATACCTCCTTCCTCTTAACCTAAAAGACAAACATACACACAAAACCTCTTTATTTCACAGTAGTTCTCCTGTTTGCTGCTGTTCCCTTGTTTCTCTAGAAATGTGGGGTTTATCATTCCATTTTCATTCTGCTAGGAGTTGCCTTTAAATTTTTTAACTACATATTTAAATATCTTCTTTCCTACCTACTTATCCATTTGTTCATCCCCCCTTGAAAAGATCTGGAACACTTTATCCCCCTGGAACTTCCTACAACAGAATTTAGTTAGAACACTCAGGGTATTTTTGTTGTTTTTGATTCAGATTTTTGTTTTTTGCAGTAGAGAGTTCTTTTTGAAAAATTATTTGTGTTCATTACATTGTTCCATAACCATTCAAGTGATGATCCTTTAGAAAGAATCTTGAAATTTTAGTGCTCACTGCCGTTTCTCATACAGATTATCATGCCCAGGTCATTCTTCCAGTGTCAACGTCAGCTGGAGTACAGAATGAGTCCACACAGATTGATGACTTGCTTCCTGCCTAACAATGTCTTTCTGTTGTTTTCACACACACCACCCCACCCCCCCCCACCCCACCCCCACCCCCCCCCCCCGCAAAATTGTCTGAAAGTGAAACTCTCAGATCATTTTGTTACTCAAAATTCTTCAATAGAAATGTTCCTCCATTACCTTCTGGCATTTAGCGTTGGGGAAGATAAATCTAATGCTGTTGTTACTGACTTTGTGTGTGTGTGTGTGCGCGCGTGGCTTTTCATCTCCAACTTGAATGTTTATAGAGTTTGTCCAAAATTTTTGAAATCCAGAAATGTCATGAAGTTGTGTCTATATGTGTCTCTATATTAATTTTCCCAGTTCTTGGTAGACACTTTATATAGCCTAAGGACTTATGTCTTTTTAGTTAGGGAAATCAGTTTTAAACCTTTGTTAATTGTTTCTCCTTCTATACTCCATTTTAGGCTTATGCTATTTCTAGGGTGGACAAAAAAAACCTGTTAAACTTATTGTTTTGCTCCTCTACTTCATTTCTCGGAATATTCCTCTGAATTCCAGGAGACTATCTTATGCTAAATCACCCAATTTCCATGTTAGTTTTAGCTTTCAAGTACCAGATCTGTTCTTCATTGCCATCAGTGTGTTGTTTTTGTGATTCAGCAACTATTTTATTGTATCTATTTATTTATTGTAATTATTTAAGTAATAGTAATTTTTCCTAGTATTTTCCCCAAAGGATGAAAAATGCTATAAAATGTCAACATAGTCAAGAGATTTGTTAAATAAATATGTTTTCACTCCTCAAATGGATCTCTTTTTGATTTTTGAATCTTTGCATATATGGTGACTATCCTTTCTTCATCAGCTTGTTTTTGTGATAGTGGGATATAACACTTTGTTCTGTTCTTTTGTTTAGGCCTTTATCAATATATACAGTCCTCCTGAAGGAGAAGGAAGGAAACCCTTTCTGTGGTTTTTCATTTGTTAGTGGGCTAGGGGAGGCATGCTCAACAGGTAATAAACTAGAGGAATGCAGATACTTTACTTCAAAGGCAGGGGAATGAACTTCTTAGCTAGTTGCTTTCAGGTAACCTGAGGCCAGGGTTCTGTAATAGCAGGTCACAACTGAATTTCTTCCCCGCTGACTGCCCTCCAGCCTGACACCATCTCCCGCCCCTTCTGCTGTGGATATTTGGACATTTGTATAAAAAGAGAGCTGTAGTTTCAGCGAGATGGAAAAGAATTTACCAGAAGACCTGACTGTATTAAGGAAAGTCTCTCTGCTGTTGAGCCTATCTTTTTCACTCTTTGTGGTTATTTTCCTAGCCCTAAATTGAGGTGCTGCCCTTTTTCATGCAGGATCTAACAGCTCTGGTTGCTCCCCCACCTCAGTTGTACTCCACCAGTCTCCCGTCACTCTGAGCATGAGATATGTAGTCAGACGCCTTACTCCAGGGCAACGGAGGAAGGCTCACGTCCTCTACCTGCCCTTCTCGGAATGTTTGTATATTGATTTACCTCTAATATCATGTACATAAAATTTTAAATGAATTAATGTAGAAAAAGTAAAAATAAAATGTTCTCTTTATTTCAGTAACAAAATTATATTTAAATTTCACACTATCTAATAATAAAGCAATTGGGGATGTTTTCACCATAAAACTTATGACAGTATAACAATTAAAATCAATAAAAGGATAAAATTCTACTTCTGTATTGTGTGACCTCTGTATTACTCTATTAGCAGTGGACAAAAATTCTGATCATCAAACAAAGAGTCCTGGATCTTCTAAGGACCAGGCCTCTGGACTTCTAAAATCTTAGTTGTTGGTTCTGACTGATGCTTCTTTCTGATTTCCTCTACTTCACCATCATCAAGTAAAAATGAAGCCAGTAGCGGAATTTGAGAAAAATAGTTCTTAGCCAGGAAGTGTTTGTGTTTGATCTTGTGAATAAACAAGGGTTCATATCCCTGAAAAGAAAAAAAGTCAGATTGTATTAAATGTCACAGATAAATCTTGCCAAACAAAAACACTTTTATGCCTCAGTGCCTTTGCTTGTCAGTTCTTTCAGCTCAGGAAACTTTTTTTTCCCTTCACTTTGTCCATCATTTTACAGGACTCAGCTTTTGTTACGTAAACCTGGAAGTCTTTCTAGATTTTCTCTCTGAACTGAGTCCAAACTAACTCCTCCTTCTTCCATACCTACAAGCACTTTCTTATATTTTTAAATGTAATATTTAATTCATTATGCCTTGGACTTCACTATCTACTTGCAAGTCTCTTCCATGATAATAAAGAAGACTCCTTAAAGATTCAAACTGGGTCTTTTTCATACGTGTGTCTCTGGTCACCTTAGGTAAACAGTCAATCAATATTTATGTGTGAATGCTCTTGTCACCTTGGTTCTCTTTAAATCTATTTCAATACTGATACAATTACCAACTTGAATTTCCTTCTAAAATTTGTCCTTCCCTCTACATCTCCAGAGTTCAAAATAAAGATCACAATGTACAACAGAAACTAATACAACATTGTAAAGCAACTTTTCTCCAATAATAAAACAAAAATCAAATAAATAAACAGTGGTGTTGTGACCATGTAAAGTTTTCTGTCACCCTTTTTATGACCACAGACATGAGCTCCTGCACTATTCCTCTTCTGTCTTCTAAACAGAAAATAATCTTCCTGCCTTTAATAAATTTTTGTGCCTTTCCATTTTTCTTTGTTATTAACTAATATTTACACTTCCTGTCTCTCCACAGCTGCAACAGCACTTTGAACTTTCTCTGTTAGGTAGCTCTGCCACATTACAGACAAAGAAAACATCTGTTTTCTAATAAAAGGGGCACACTGCAAGCTGCCAAACCAATATTCATTCTCTCTTCCATTCATATTTAGAGGCCTGATTTTACACAGGGGCCCGATTTTGTATTCTGTGACATGCTCAGCTTTCTTAGCCTTTATTATAGCTAGGGTTGGTCACATGACAAGTTTCTGGCATTCCTTGAGAGCTCAGCTGGTAAAGAATCTGCCTGCAATGCAGGAGACCCAGGTTGGATTCCTGGATTGGGGAGATCCCCTGGAGAAGGGATAGGCTGCCCACTCTAGTATTCCTGGGCTTCCCTGGTGACTCAGTTGGTAAAAAAATCTGCCTGCAATGTGGGAGACCTAGGTTTGATCCCTGGGTCGGGAAGATCCACTGGAGAAGGGAAAGGCTACCCACTGCAGTATTCTGGCCTAGAGAATTCCATGGACTGTGTAGTCCATGGGGTTGCAAAGAGTCAGACATGACTGAGCGACTTTCACTTTCATGTATATGTGTATGTATATATATATATACACACATACACACACACATATATATACATGGCAGAAATATATATATGTGAATATATATACACACACATGTATATGTATATATTTTTTGTGTGTGTGTGTGTGTGTGTGTGTGTATTTTTTAAAAAGAAGTCACTGGATAAAGCTTACAGGGAAGCTCTTTGGGAGTGGGAAGCCTCACCTGTCAAGTACCTTTAGGCTTTTGCTGTATCCAGGAGGTGGGTATAATGCAGGAGATAAAGTAGCTATCTATCTCTAAGAGTACACGATCATTATGATTAAAGCCAAAGTTTAAATATGGCTGTGGAAGAAGTTAGAGGGCCTGGATTTTTGAGAACGTTGTAAAGCTACCACACAACCACCCTGTCATTGCCAAACTCTGCATTCCTGTTATATAAGAAAAGCAGCCCCATATTTGGTTAATTTGTTAAATTAACTTGCTTGCAAATTGCTTGATTTGTTATTTACAGCTAAGCTCAAATGCAACTGAAATGATCAAGAATTGTGTCCATTAGATTTCTCCGTTTTTCCCGAAGCACTTATCACAGTAACCCTCAGATTCAAAAGCAGATTCTGGTTGAATTAACAAACACCATCTATTCTCTTTATTAATTTTACCTGACTCTTCTTTTCAACCAAATCACAAATACTACCTGTACCTCCTCCTAAAATTTGTTTTCTGAAAGGTCAGCTATCTCCTTACTAAAGATGCTTCCACAGTGTCAAGTTAAGGTAAAGAAAGCCCTGGAGAAAAGGAAACAGAGGACATGGCATTCTTACAGAAAGCAGAAAGTATCCTGGGCTCATTTTAAGGTTTCCTCTCTAGGGTATGTATACATATATACACAATGGAATAATACGCAATTAAAAAAGAAAGAAAAGTGGCCATTAGCAACACAGATGGACCGAGAAAGTATTATGCTTTAGGGAAATAAGTCAGAAAGAGAAAGACAAATACTTCATATTATCACTTACCTGTGCAATCTAAAAAATAAAGCAAATATACATAACAAAACAAAACAGAAACAAGTCATAGATAGAGAGAACAAACGAGTGACTACCAGTGGGAAAAAGGAAGGTGTGGGGGCAAGAGTGGATTAAGAGACACCAACTACTGTGTGTACATAGATAAGCAACAAGAATATATTGTACAGCATAGGTAAATATAGCCATTGTTTTATAATGACTTTAAATAGAATAAAATCTATAAAAATATTGAGACATGTTTTACACTTGAAACTAACTATATGTTATAAATCAACTATACTTTAATAAAAAAAAATTCTTCTCTACAGACAAATTCACCGAGGGAGTTCACTGGCATTCCAATGGTTATCACTCCATGCTCCCATTGCAGGGGGCACGAGTTCAATCCCTGGTCAGGAAACTAAGATCTCACAAGCTGCACAGTGTGGTAAAAAAGGAAAACAACACTCATCTAACCTCCTCCCAACACTTCTTAGCCCATATTTCATTTAAGGAATACTGACACATTTCTGTTATATTAATATTAATACAACATTAAACAATACATGTAGAGAACCTTACAGATTTTCAAAGTGCATAAACAAAGCCCAATCATTAAAGATGAGAATACCACATTATGTCATATACAATAAAAGGAACAATAAGTAACTCTTAAAGAATAATATAATATGGAAGAATATCCAATATTCATTATCCCCACGTTATCTATGAGAAAACTGGGGTATTGAGACAGTAACAAACTTGCCCAACTTCTTGCAACTCATAAGTGACAGAATCAGAATTCAAAGCTAAGGCTACTCTTACCCCCTGTGACTTGCCTGGTGGCTTAGACAGTAAAGAGACCTCCTGAAATGAGGGAGACCTGGGTTCGATCTCTGGGTTAGGAAAGTCCCCCGGAGGAGGAAATGGCAATCCACTCCAGCATTCTTGCCTGGAGAATCCATGGACAGAGGAATCTGGCAGGCTATAGTCCATGGGTTCACAAAGAGTCAGACCCGACTGAGTGACTAAGCGTAGCACTCTAATCCTCTATGCCGGTTCCATGTCTTTAGCTAACTCATAAAGCGAAGCAGGCAGGCCCTAATGCCTTATGGACCCTCAGTGACAGATGGGGAAATGCCGGTCAGGCCTGCTGACTTTAAATGCACCACTCTCCTGCTCTGGCCAAGGCACACACTGAGAAACTGGCCTGCCTCACACACAGTTCAGAGAACAGGAGCCTTTTCCATGCTTCCCTGCAGTTTGTATCATGGCTACAGGAGTCAAGATTATTTTACCTTTTAAGTATTCTTTTTCCTCACTGAGATAGCAAATGTGTGTTAAGTCGCTTCAGTAGTGTCCAACTCTTTGAGACCCTATGGACTGTAGCTCTCCAGGCTCTGTCCATGGGATTCTCCAGGCAGGAATACTGGAGTGGGTTGCCATGACCTCCTGCAGAAGATTTTCCCAACCCAGGGATTAAACCTGCCTCTCCTATGTCTCCTGGGCGGGCAGGTGGGTTCTTTACCACTAGTGCCACCTGGGAAGCCCTTTGATAGTAAATAGCTCTGCGTATTTCGGAAATTCTGGAAATGCTTTACTTTGCCACAAGACATAAACTGTTCTTTAACTAGGATGAATATTAATACTTAAAAGATTACACCAGCCCAAACCCATCAAACAGCAATTTATTTTAGTTTGTCTGAAATAACAATTATGTTTGAAGTCATTTCTTTATTTACACTAGGCTTACTTAGTGTAAATGGAGCTCTATTTACAGAAATTCAATAAGATCCTGAAATTAGAAACGCATGTGAATAAAACATTTAATTTGATACTGCAGTAACTTGATTAAATACACAAAGGGAGTTTGTGCATTAATTGAAGCAGCAGTGGAATATCACCTTTGGGAATGAACTTCAATTCCACTATGGCTCCTATATGAAATGATTCTGCTAGTATTGGCTAGGCTTCCAGTGATTAAATATTTATGGGGCAGCTTAGTTCACTAAATATAATATTTAACACAGCTTCAGTTTGTTACCCTTTCCTCCAGTCCCTAGGGTGAAATTTTTCTTATCCTGGCATCTACTGGAAAATTATTCAAAAAAGCGAACAATTTAATTACTTCCTCCTCTTTACACCTTCCCCCTCCCCAATAAAAACATGTACAGGGAAGAGCATGATTCAAAATGACTATTATGTTTGAAGTCATTTCTTTATTTTCCCTTAGCTGACATCTTGCATCGAATAAGTACAGCAATTTAATCAGTGGGAAGCAGAGATTCAGTACCAGCTGTTGGGATCATAGGTTTACTTAGTGCAAACAGAGCTTTCTGAGAACTCATCAGGGACCCCTCAATTCTGTTCATCAAAATGTTTTACAGATTGCATCTTGTAAGTTACTGAAATTAAATGATGTTTAATTTTTATAGCACTTTCCTTACTCCTAGCTAGTTGGAAGCAAATGAAAAATTAAGGCTCAGAACTACACCCCATTGGTAGAATTGACACTTAGGACACAAAATTATGAACCAAATTTATTTGAGAAGTTAGTGTGCTTTTAGGTAGACCTGTGAATAATCAAAGGACAGACTCTAGGTTCCATAATAACTATCTGGTGATAGTATTCATTTATTCATTCAACAAATACATATTAATTAGCTACTCTGTCACACTGTTGTATTAGAGATATAGACACACAAAAACTAAACAATATCCCTAGCTCTTGTGAAATTTACTGTGGTACTAATGTGCTTGAACTTGCTATTATTAGGAGGTAGTGGTTTCATGTTAGGTACTTGTAAGACTTCCAGATGTCTTATCTTTATCTCTTATGTGCCTTAACCTCCTTTAAATTTCAATCTCTGCCATACATACCATCCAGGTATGTGTTACTGTTATCCACGGGTTCTCTGTTGCTTAATCCAATGAAACTATTCAAATTATGCATGGAATGTAGTAAAAGGCAGTCAAGTGAAAGTGAAAGTTGCTCAGTCATGTCCACCTCTTTGCAACTCCATGGACTATATAGTCTATGAAATTTTTCAGGCCAGCATACTGGAGTGGGTAACCTTTCCATTCTCCAGGGGATCTTTCAAACCCAGATCTCCCACATTGTGGTTGGATTCTTTACCAGATAAGCTATCAGGGAAGCCCTAAAAGGCAGTCAAGTTACTTCTAATAATTCCAGTGGTCAAACTAAGGTCACAGATTGACTTTCTTACCTCTTCAATACTCTTTAGCTTGAGATGAATAGCGCCTTCATCTTTGGTAAGAAGAATGCAGTTCCAGGGAGACCATTCCACAGACTTATCCCATCTGACCATGACCAGATCATTGAGATCCTTCCAAGCACTGAGCACAGACTGGGATGCCCAGATGTTCTCTGTCAGGTACTGAATATCTTGTAGCTACATGTCAAAATATATTTGTAAAATAAAAATATTCTAAACATAAAATTTTATTCTAAACACAAAATTTCTCTAAGATTATTATATCCCTTGAGAAAACAAATTGAGTGTATCTTTTAAAGGGAAACATTATTCATGAGGTTTTCAGCACACATGGTGATGGTGGTTTAGTCACCAAGTTGTGTCTGACTCTTGGGACCCCACAGACTTAGCCCGCCAGGCTCCTCTGTCCATGGAAATTTTCAGGCAACAGTACTGGAGTGGGTCACCATTTCCTTCTCCAGGGGATCTTCCTGATCCAGGGATCAAACCCGGGTCTGCTGTGTTGCAGGAGATCTTCTGCACCGTAGGCAGATTCTTTACCAACAGAGGCACCAGGGAAGACTCTCAGAGCCCACATGTGTGTGCTGTGCTTGGCCGCTCAGTTGTATCTGACTCTTTGTGACCCGTGGACTGTAGTCCACCAGGCTCCTCTGTCCATGGGGAGTCTCCAGGCAAGAATACTGGAGTGGGTTGCCATGCCCTCCTCCAGGGGATCTTCCCAACCCAGGATCGAACCCAGGCCCCCCGCATTGCAGGCGGATTCTTTACCAGCTCAGTCCCCAGGGAAGCCCAAGAATACTAGAGTGGGTAGCCTACCCTTTCTCCAGGGGATCTCCCCAACCAAAGAATCGAACCAGGGTCTCCTGCAATGCAGGTGGATTCTTTACCAGCTGAGCAATCAGGGAAGCCCAATCTCTGTTCACTCTGTCCAAACTATGTTACCAGTCTCACAGTCCTGACTACATCCAGAGAAAGCAGTGTGTATTTCTTCCAACATGCTAATTTTACCTTACATTTATATGGTATTAAGTACTTTCTAAAATTCATTAATAACTTTCAGCTTATCCTCAGGGTTACTTGCAGATCATTTTATTCCCATTTTAGAAATTAGGAAATTAAGATGTGGAAAAGAATAAGCAATTCATTTAGTGTTATTAAAAACTTCATTGTTTTAGTGAAAAAAAAAGAGGGAAAGGGGGGAAATGAAATAACTGCTTATAAACTTTTTAAAAATTTAAACCATATTAGCTACAGCTCTTGAAATGACTTTTTATCAAGAAGACTGCATATATAAACTTAGGACTGCCAGAGGGGCAAGCTTCAGAAAGAATAAACACAAGAAGAAGAATCATTATTTTAAAAGGCTTGGATGGGAAAGCAGAAATCTTTTCTGTAAAATCAATGAACAGGTTTCATCCGTGATTGGCAACATTTACTCATCATACCTGTATCAGAAAAGCAATTTCAGAATCATCTTCATAATCAGCTTCTGAACAGTAGAGCCGTTGAAGTAAACATTTGTACTTTAAATATGATTCTCGTTTTCGACTCTCATTTTCAAGGTTAATGCACTGACGGCATTGGTAAATGCGGTGTGAGGTGGATGATATAGGAAACTCTGCAGAAGGCAAATAGAGCTGGCAACTGTGGCAAAAGTAAATTTTCTTATAGAACTTCAATGGGTCCTGAGGGACCTAAACAATTAAAAAGAAAGAAAGAAAAGTTTAATAGCCAGGCCAAACATTAAGGGCTAACTTATCTTAGAATAAGATAAATATTTGGTTAATTTTAAAGTTATATTTTTCCCTAACTTCTAATCTATGCAAAATTTAAATTTCAAGTCATATTCATTCACTCTGTCAAAATGTTAAAAATCTATTGTTCATCAACTTTTAGATACATGTGGTAAAACCACCTAGAAAATTAACTGGCTGAAAAAAATGAGTAGGTAGAGGCTTTGAGTTGCAACCGTAAGAAAACCTTCCAAAAAGAAGGGGAAAAAAGTCCTTTGACACTTATTTTTAAGAAGAATTTAGATTTTTGGTGCTATTCTGTATTAATTTTTCTTACAAGCAGTATATAAATTCATATATAAATAAAAGCCCATTAAAACAAGTGTTCTCATTTCATTCCAACTTCACTCTAAATTTAGGTTGGTTCATTCATCAGTGTTCAAACTTTGAAACTCTGCATTATATAGTAGTTCTATTTCTAATTTTTTGAGGAACCTCCATAATGGTGGTACCAATTTACATTTCCACTAACAGTACACAAGGATTCCCTTTTTTCCACATCCTTGCCAATACTTGTTATCTTCTGTTATTTTAATAATAGACATTTTAACATTGAGGGGGTGATATTTCATTGTGGTTTTGGTTTGCATTTCTCTGATGATTAGTGACAGTGAGTGACAATTTTTCACATACATGTTAACTATTTGTATGTCTTCTTCAGGAAAATGTTTGTTCAGGTCCTTTGCCCATTTTTTAAATTGGATTAAAATTATTTTGCTATTGAGTTGTACAAGTTGTTTTGGATATACCTCATCTGATGAATTAAAAGTACTCTTACTCAAAGATGCTATCTGAGTCTTCTTTTTTATGGTGGAAGGTCTTATATTTATTAGATTTTTTAAGTATTGAAATATATAGTTGATGTACAATATTATGTTAGCTTCAGATGTTCTACACAATGATTTGACAAAATGATTTGGTGAGAAGTGCCAATACCATGTTGAATAAAAGTGGCAAGAGTGGGTATCCTTTTCGTGTTCCTGATGATAAAGGAAATGCTTCCAGCTTTCTACTAGTATTATGTTGGCTGTAGGTTTGTCATATAGGGCCTTTATTACGTTGAGGTATGTTCCCTCTATACCCACTTGGTTGAGAAATTTTAAACACAAACGTTGAAGACTGTCAAAACTTCTTCTGCATCTACTGAAATGATCATATAATTTTCATTCTTCAATTTGTTAATGTGGTATATGATACTGACTTGCAGTGTTGAAACATTCTTGCATCCCAGAGATGTCTCTCTTGATCACGGTGCATGATCCTTTTAGTGTGTTGTTGAATTCAGTTTGCTAACCTTTTGGTGAGGACTTATGCATGTATGTTCATCAGTGATATCTGTGTGTAATTTTCTGTGATGTCTTTGCCTGGTTTCAGTATCACAGTGATGCTGGCCTCAAAGAGTGAATTTGGAAATATTCTTTCCCCTTCAGCTTTTTGGAGTAGTTTGGGAAGGATAAATGCTAATTCTTTAAATGTTTAGCACCATTTCCTGTGAAGCAGTCTGGTCATGAGCTTTTGTTTGTTGGGAATTTTTGATTACTGATCCAAGTTAATTACTGGTAATTGGTCTGTTCACTATTTTTACTTCTTCCAGATTCATTCTTGGGAGACTGTATATTTTTAAGATTCTATCTATCTCTTCGAGTTTGTCCATTTTATTGGTGTATAAACTGTTCATAATAATCTCTTATAATCTTCTGTATTTCTGTAGTGTTGGTTGTAACTTTATTCCCTTTTTTATTTCTGATTTTATTGACTTGGTACCTCAATTTTTCTTGATGAGTCTGTCTAAAGGTTAATCAATGTTTTTTATCTTTTCAAAGAACCAGCTCTTAGATTTATTGATATTAATCTCTATTTTTATTTATTTCTGTTCTGATTTGTATTATTTCTTTCCTTCCACTAATTTTGTGTTTTGTTTGTTCTTCTTTTTCTAGTTTGCATAAGTGTAATGTTAGGTGGCTTATTCTGCAATTTTTCTTATTTCCTGAAGTAGGTTTGTATCACTATCAACTGTCTTCTTAGAACTGCTTTTACTGCATCTCATCAATTTTGGATCATTGTCTTTTCGTTTTTGTTTGTCACCAGGTATTTTTTTAATTTTCTGTTTGATTTATTCAGTGAACCATTGGTCATTTAGTACACATTGCTTAACCTCCCAATGTTTGTGTTTTTTGCAGTTTTTTTTTTTTTGTAGCTGATTTCTATTCTCATACCATTGTGGTTTGAAAAGATGATTGATAAATTTCAGTCTTCTTAAATTTACTGAGACTTGTTTTGTGGCCTAGCATGAAATCTAGACTGGAGACTGTTCCATAAGCACTTGAAAGGATTGTGTATTTCACTGCTTTTGGATGGAATGTTTCATATACATATTTGGTCTAAAGTGTCATTTAAGGCCACTGTTTCCTTATTGATTTTCTGTTTCAATGAGGTATCCATTGATGGAAGTGGGAGGTTAAAATCTCCTACTATTATTGTGCTACTGTCAATTTTTTCCTTTATGTTTGTTGCATTTCCTTTACATATTTAGCTACTCCTGGTTTGATACATATATATTTATTTACAATTGTTATCTTCTTATTGGATTGATCACTTTATAATTATGTAATGTCCTTCTTTGTCTTAGCACAGTCTCTGTTTTAAAGCCTATCTTGTCCCTGGTGGCTCAGACATTAAAGAATCCACCTGCAATGGAGGAGACCTGGGTTTGATCCCTGGGTCAGGGAAGATCCCCTGGAGAAGGGAATGGCTACCCACTCCAGTATTCTTGCCTGGAGAACCCCATGGACAGAGGAGCCTGGCGGGCTACAGTCCGCGGGGTCACAAAGAGTCGGACATGACTGCAACTAAGCACAGCTAAGCATGCGCCCCAGTTTCCTTCTTGCTTTCATTTGCATGGAATACCCTTTTCCAACCCTTCACTCTGTCTGTCTCTTTAGATCTGAAGAAAGTCTCCTGTAGGCAACATATACATGGCTCTTGTATTTTTTTATCCATCCGGTCATTCTATGTCTTTTATTTGGAGCACTTAGTCCATTTACATTTAAAGAAATTATTGATAGGGATGTATTTATAACCATTTTGTTTATTGTTTTCTGGTTGGTTTACAGTTTTTTATTATTGTTTTTGTTGCTCCTTTCTTCCTTTGTTCTCTTCCTCTTATGATTAGATGACTTTCTTTAGTGTTGTGGTTGGATTTTCTCTTTTGTGTGTATATCTATTACAGGTTTTTGGCCTGTGGTTACCATGAGGTTAATATACAACAACATATATCATTTTTAAGTTGATGTTCCCTTAAGTTCAAACATGTTCTAATATCCCTGTATTTTTATTCCCCCAGCCACCACTGCCATTTTTAATATTTGTGACATTATATTTTACATCTTTTGTTTTTTGTATCCCTTTATTACTTATTGTGGATAAATGATTTTACTACTTTTGTCTTTTAACCTTCCTATTAGCTGTCTAAGAGGTTGATCTACTATCTTTACTGTATGTTTGCCTTTACTAATAAGATCTTTGCTTTCATAATTTTCTTATTTCTAGCTGTAGTCTCTTCTGCTTAGAGCAGTCCTTTAAAATTTCTTGTACAGGTGGTTTAGTGATGCTGAATTATTTAAGCTTTGGTTGTTAGTAAAACTCTATCTCCCTTTCAAATATGAATGATAGCCTTGCCAGGTAGAGTATTCTTGATGGTAGTTTTTTTTCCCCCTTTTTTCACTTTGAATACATTATGTCAATCCTTTCTGGCCTGCAAAGTTTCTGTTGAAAAGTCAGCTGATAGTCTTAAGAGCTTCCTTGTATACTACTAGTTGCTTTTCTCCTTTTCTTTTCAATGGAATCTTTTTTTTTTTTGAGCAGTAGGTCTCAACAGTGTGCTTAAAATATTAACATTAACTAAACCATGGTTGGAAAAAGATGTGCTGTTATATAAACTCTGTTGTTCCATTTACAGAGCACAGGCAGAATAGCTTGGTAATAAATCTTAAGGGCCCTAGTATTTTCCAAATAGTAAATGAGCGCTGGCTTAAACTTAAAGTCACTAGCTGCATTAGCCCCTAACAAGAGAGTCAGTCTGTCCAGTAAGGCTTTGAAGCTAGGAATTTGACTTCTCTCTAGCTATGAAAGTCCTAGCTGTCATCTTCTTCCAGTATAAGGCCATCTCATCTATACTAAAAATCTATTGTGTAGTGTAGCCATCTTCATTAATTATCTTGACAAGATCTTCTGGATAACTTGTTGCTTCTATATCAGCACTTGCACTTGTACGTGTATGTTATGGAGAGCTTCTTTCCCTAAATCTCACGAACCAAGCACTGTGAGCTTCAGACTTTTCTTCTGCAGCTTTCTTACCTCTCTCAGCCTTCAAGAAAATGAAGAGCATTAGGGCCTTGCTCTGGACCAAGCTTTGGCTTATGGAAATGCTATGGTAGGTCTGATCTTCTATCCAGACCACTCAAACTCTCTCCATACTAACAACAGGGCTGTTTCGATTTCTTATCACTCATGTGTTCACTGGAGTAGCACTTTTAATTTCCTGCAAGAACTTGTCCTTTGCATTCACAAGTTGGCTGACTGGTGCAAGAGGCTTAGCTTTTGGCCTATTCTCATTAAGTTTAATCATTTCCAGCTTTTGATTTAAAGGGAGAGGTGTGCAACTCTTCTTTTCACTTAAACCCTTAGAGGCTATTGTAAGGTTATTAACTTGCCTAATTTCAATAATGTCGTGTCTCAAGGAATAGGGGTTGTCTGAGGACAGGGAGAGAGAAGGAAGCACCACCAGTTGGTAGAGCAGTCAGAATACACACATCAATTAAATTTGCTGTCTTATATGGGCAAGGTTTATGAAGTCCCAAAACAGTTATAATAGCAAGATCAAAGATCAATGACCACAAATCACTGTAACAAACATAGTAAACATGAGAAAGTCTGAAACATTCTAAGAATTACCAAAATGTGACTCAGAGACACAAAGTGAGCAAAAGCTGTTGGAAAAATTGTGCCAATAGATTTGCTCAATGAAGGGTTGTCACAACCTTCAATTTATCTTAAAAAAAGAAAGAAAGAAAACAAGCATCTGCAAAGTTCAATAAAGTGAAGTGCAATAAAACATGGTATGCTTGTACGTATCATATGATTCCATTTACAGGACAGGGTTAGGTATAACTACAGAAATAAAATGCTGAACAGTGTTTGCCAAGGGTTAGGCATCCAGGGGAAGGACTGATTACAAAGTAGCAGAAGGAGGGAATTTCAGGGAGGTGAAAAGACTATTTTATCTTGATTGTGCTATTGGCTGTTGATTACACAACACTGCATTTCTCAAAACTTATCAAAAACATTGGATTTTACCAAAGGTAAATTTAAAAAGTGAATAAAATAGTATAATGTTATGTGAATGGATAGAACATTGAATTCTATTATACTACCGCAAGTATATGAAAATTGTGTAAGTCCATAGAAGACTAAAAGGTAGCTTAGAAAAATAGAACAATGATAAATAATTTGATGGTCAACTTTTCTCTTGAACTTTTGTTATATTTTTCTCTTGAACTTTTGTTATATTTTAAAGTTCTCCTGAAATCTAATTAAGTTTCAAAAATTCATTAGAAGAAAGAATATAAAAATTAAACAATTTTACTTTTTCTGAAAGTTTCTGCTGAGATTTTTGCTTATGTTAAGCAAAATAGATGTTTGGTCAGCTTCTTAAATTATTAGAGATTATTACTCTAAAAATAATCATTGGAGCAACACTATTAATATTTCAAACCCTTTAATAAGCCCCTCAAAAATTTACTAAAGGTGTTTTATATAGTCTTGCAATGTAAGAAGGCAAAGTTTTTAGAAAGAAAAATCTCCAAAGACGGCTAAGCATATTGGAGTTGGAAAAAGCAATTTAATTCAAACACATATTACATTTGAAGTTCTTGCAGGATATCTATGTGAATCAGTTCAGTAATAATTATAACTATGTGGTAGGTATTATAAAGGGACACAAAGGTGAGTGTAGAATCTCAGAAATGAAGAGTTTAACTCTCTCTGAGGCCTAGTGAAGAAGAGTACATGTGAACTGAGTCCTAAAAAATAAAGAGGAGCTGGCTAGCCAAAGTCAGGGACAACATTCCAGGAGGAAGCAACAGAATGTGCAAAAGCTTGAAAGTGTGAGAGATTGTGAGGTATTCAATATAGCACAGTACTCAACTGGACACTTTATCCAGAGAGGAGGAGAGAATTCAAGGTTGGAAACACAAACAGAAAACGTTAAATGGTTCATTTATCAACATAAAAAATATCATTCAAAGAAAATTTAATAAATAAGATGATCTTCCACATGGACCCCTAGTAAAGTACTAAAGCAAAATTTGAATATACCTCATTTTACTATAGCATAGAATTCTAATAAAGGAATACAGGGGGGGGAAAGGTAGAGTACCTTAAGGTGTCTTGCAACTTCTGGATTAAACAGAGGTGTTTTTATGTAATGAAAAAAGAGTGTTGCGATCCTTTTTCTGAGTCCTTCCAGATTCTGATGTTTGACTCCTCTCATCATAAGGTCAACCTCCCTGTCAATCAATTCTAGGATTTCCTGAGTCAGTTTACATTCATGTTCCTGTGTAAAATACACACACATATGTTATGTGGAATACTAAATATCATCAAGTTAGTTTTTAAAGTTATCACCAAACAAGCTAAAACTAGATTCCAAAAGTACGCTAATGTAAGTAGAGATGAAAGTGAAAGTGAAAGTCACTCAATCACGTCCAACTCTTTGCGACCCCATATATAGTCCATGGATCTCCAGGCCAGAATACTAGAGTGGGTAGCTGTTCCCTTCAGGGGATCTTCCCAACCCAGGGACTGAACCCAGGTCTCTCGCATTGCAGGTGGATTCTTTATCAGCTGAACCACCAGGAAATCCAATAAGTATAGATGGATATCACTAATTTGGAAAAGAAGCTGACATTATCGAGAAGAATTAAAGATATCCATAATCTACAACCCAGCAATTCTACTCAAGTGCTTTAAAGAAATGTGCATGGAGTCATTGCTCAAACCAGTTCAAAATCAGAAATAACCAAATATCCATAAACAAATTGATTACATAAATAAGTGACAAAGTAGGTGGCTCAGATGGTAAAGAATCCACCTACAATATAGGTTCAACCCCTGGGTCAGGAAGATCCCATGGAGAAGGGAATGGCTACCCATTCCACTTTTCTTGGAGAATTCTATGAACAGAGAAGCCTGGTGGGTTCACAAAGAGTCAGACACAACTGAGTGACTATGAGCGATTAACAGTTTTGGTTCATACAATAAAGTATTATCTATACAGAAATGAATTAACTAGAGCTATACACAATAACAAATTTAAATCTTACAAATTAATGTTTAGCAAATGAAGCAAGGCACAAAATAATACTTACTGTCTCATTCCATTTAAATAAAATTCAAAAATAAGCAACACGACAGTATATTACTTAGAGATGTATCAATTCAGTTCAGTCGCTCAGTCGTGTCCAACTCACTGCGACCCCATAAACCGCATAAAGCCAGGCCTCCCTGTCCATCACCAACTCCCGGAGTTTACCCAAATTCATGTCCATTGAGTTGGTAATGGCATCCAATCATCTCATCCTCTGTTGTCCCCTTCTCCTCCTGCCCTCAACCTTTCCCAGCATCAGGGTCTTTTCAAATGAGTCAGCTCTTCGCATCAGGTGGCCAAAGTACTGGAGTTTCATCTTCAACATCAGTCCTTCCAATGAGCACTCAGGACTGATCTCCTTTAGGATGGACTGGTTGGATCTCCTTGCAGTCCAAGGGACTCTCAGGAGTCTTTTCCAACACCACAGTTCAAAAGCATCAATTGTCCGGCACTCAGCTTTCTTTATAGTCCAACTCTCACATCCATACATGACCACTGGAAAAACCATAGCCTTGACTAGATGGACCTTTGTTGACAAAGTAATATCTCTGCCTCTTAATATTGTGTCTAGGTTGGTCATAACTTTTTTTCCAAGGAGTAAGCGTCTTTTAATTTCATGGCTGCAATCACCATCTGCAGTGATTTTGGAGCCCCCAAAAACAAAGTCAGCCACTGTTTCCACTGTTTCCCCATCTATTTGCCATGAAGTGATGGGATCGGATGCCATGATCTTAGTTTTCTGAACGTTGAGCTTTAAGCCAACTTTTTCACTCTCCTCTCACTTTCATCAAGAGGCTCTTTAGTTCTTCTTCACTTTCTGCCACAAGGGTGGTGTCATCTGCATATCTGAGGTTATTGATATTTCTCCCGGCAATCTTGTTTCCAGCTTGTGCTTCTTCCAGCCCAGCGTCTCTCATGATGTACTCTGCATATAAGTTAAATAAGCAGGGTGACAATATACAGCTTTGATGCACTTATTTTCCAATTTGGGACCAGTCTGTTGTTCCATGTCTGGTTCTAACTGTTGCTTCCTGACCTGCATATAGGTTTCTCAAGAGGCAGGTCAGGTGGCCTGGTATTCCCATCTCTTTCAGAATTTTCCAGAGGTTATGGTGATCCACACAGTCAAAGGCTTTGGCATAGTCAATAAAGCAGAATTAGATGTTTTTCTGGAACTCTCTTGCTTTTTTGATGATCCAGGATATGTTAGCAATTTGATGTCTGGTTCTGCCTTTTCTAAAACCAGCTTGAACATCTGGAAGTTCACAGTTCACGTATTGCTGAAGCCTGGCTTGGAGAATTTTGAGCATTACTTTACTAGCGTGTGAGATGAATGCAGTTGTGTGGTAGTTTGAGCATTCTTTGGTATTGCCTGTCATTGGGATTGGAATGAAAACTGCCCTTTTCCAGTGCTGTGGCCACTGCTGAGTTTTCCAAATTTGCTGACATATTGAATGCAGCACTTTCACAGTATCATCTTTTAAGATTTGAAATAGCTCAACTGGAATTCCATCACCTCCACTAGCTTTGTTACTAGTGATGCTTCTTAAGGCCCACTTGACTTCACATTCCAGGATGTCTGGCTCTAGGTGAGTGGTCACACCATCGTGATTATCTGGGTCATGAAGATGTTTTTTGTACAGTTCTTCTGTGTATTCTTGCCACCTCTTCTTAATATCTTCTGCTTCTATTAGGTCCATACCATTTCTGTCCTTTATTGAGCCCATCTTTGCATGAAATGTTCCCTTGGTATCTCTGATTTTCTTGAAGAGATCTCTAGTCTTTCCCATTCTATTGTTTGGTAACTATGAACAAAAATCAAGGAAATGACTACCATGAAACTAAGTATGGGACTTCTCTGGTGGTCCAGTGGTTGAGAATCTGCCTGCCAATGCAGCGGACACTGTCTTGATCCTTGGTCCAGACAGATTCCGCAAATTGCAGAGCAAGTACGCCCATGCACTTAGAGCCTGTGTTCCTCAACAAAAGAGGTCACTGTAATGGAAGCCTCACACCTCAACTAGAGAGTATCCCCTGCTTGCTGCAACTAGAGAAAGCCTGCGTGCAGCAACAAAGATCCAGAGCAACTAGAAATAAACAAATAAACAATATTTTTTTAAAAAAGAAAAAGAAAGCATGGTAATTACTTTTAGAGGATGAGAAGGTAAATTGAAAATATGAAGAGAAAGGGAGATGCTGACAAAGTCCTGTTTTGGGCCCAGGAAGGTGGCAACAGGGTTGGTAGTTTTACGTTTGCAGATATATACTTGATACGTTTATTTCTGTATATTTATATAGTTCACAATCATTTTAAATAAAATAATTGAAATGATTGAATAAGAAAGGCCAAATAAGAGTTAAGTGATTAAAGTAAAAGTATTTAAAAGTAATAAAATAGAATCAAGTTGCTCCAACTTCCCAAGAGGGACTACAAGAAACATAGTTTGAATGAAGGAATCAGAACGTAAAGTCAGTAATTATAAAATAATGCTCTTCTTTTTTTTTAATGCATACTTGGTATGGCTAATAAAAGGATCTGCATCGGTTGTCTTTGAGAGCCCATTGCAATGACCTGGAATGATTTTTAAAAATCTTAACATTGCTATCACACTTGAGGATCCAACTGACCTGTTCTGAAATGGGGTCTAGATATCATTCCTATTGACTTATTCTCATATTCTCTCTCCCCATTTCCCTATATAATTCTTTATCTCTTTCAAGCTGTCCAGATGATTCTAATGCATATTCAAGTTCAAGATTCACTGGTCTGTATGAGCAACTGTCATCAAAATAATACTTCTTATGTATTGAGGGCTCCCTATTTGTAAACATTGAGACATACAAATTATATATTTTATTTATATTGTATATACAGATGTATGTAGAAGTATATATACAGGTATATATTTATATCCTCAAAGCAACTAACTTTACAGATAACAATAGCTTCAGAAATACTCAATAACTTATCTAAGGTTGTACAGCCACAATAAATAGGATCAGAATTTGAGTTATGCTTAAAGGCCTTGATCCTCCATCAAATATCGTTCAGTAAATGTGTATGTGGTTATGTTAGGTTAAATGTATTAAATATGCACAACTTATCTTTTATGAGTCTGTCCTCTGACTCTTTTAACTAACCAGCTAATGGTCCTAATTACATCAGGTAAGAGGATGTACTACTGTACATCCCTACTGTATGTATTCTACTGTACTCCCTACCTGAACTCTCTTTTTTCCAATCTGGTCATTTTATTGCCCTCTAAAGAGATCATGTTTATTTCCTACCTCTGAACCTACTGCTTCTCCTTCTCCTCCTAACTATCTCTAACTTCAAAGGCATAGTTACAAGACACACATCTCTGTAAAGGCAGGCAATAACCTAATTGAGTTCATGCCTTTGCTTTCGAGATGGGCAGTAATGTGAAAGAACTATGGAGACTGAGCTTCCAATCAGAACCATTTACTCAACTACTTAATGTGCCTTAAATCAATAACTGATAAGGAAAAAGAAATAAAAATACTTATACAAATGCTGCTTTAAAATGGATAAAAATAAAATTTTCATCACAAGTGTCAGAATATATAGACAATAATTGCTGTTTTATTGAGTATTAATCTCATGCTATATATAACTGCATTCATTTCAAAAAGAGACATTTATATTTAGGTTATTCACTGTGTGATATATACATTAGTATGTATCATATAGTTTGAGAACTTTTAGATAAATACTAATGCATAAACCATATCCTCCCCAAATTGTACCCAAATGATATATTGTTGACAAAATAAGATTAATAATTTATTATCTTTATAATTACTTGATAGAAAACATTTATTTTAGTATTCAATATTTTTACTGATGATGTGACACCCAAAAACTACGAGAAAGTTAACGTACCTTTACTGTATGTTTAAGCGTTAAGAGTACATCCAGCCTCTCATCTTGAGAGACATTCTTCAGCATGATGCAGTTATAGATGTTTTGCAGCTCTCTGGCTCTGATGGTAAATTGTGTATCCAACTCAATTATTTTGCCATCAAATCTTCTCCATGTCTTTGGAGCTGAACACTTAAAAATAATATTATGTTTATAGCTATCAGTTAATTAAAGTTTCAAAAATAACTTTATTCTGTCTACTGTAAGTTAACTTTATCATCGGGTGATTTAGGAATAAAAATATCACTAAAACTTTGTTGTTCAGTCACTAAGTTGGCTCTGACTAGAAAATTAATTAAAGAATTTGCAGACCACGGGAAAATAAAACAATTTAGGGGAAGAAATATCAGAGAGCTTCAGTCTACAGAAGTGCAAATATTTTCTCAAGATTCAGAACTTGCTACTAATTTGTACTAACTAGTATGATGGCGGGGTTTCCCTGGTGGCTCAGTGGTAAAGGATCCGCCTGCTAATGTAGGAGATGCAGGAGGCTCAGGTCTGATCCCTGGGTCCGGAAGATGCCTTGGGGGAGGAAATGGCAACCCACACTAGTACTCACGCCTAGAAAATGCCATGGACAGAGCAGCCTGCTGGGCTACAGTCCAAAGGGTTGCAAAAGGGTTGGATGCAACTGACTAAACAACAACAAAGTGTGATGGTTAGCTTGATGGATTCGTGAAATAACTCATTACCCCCTTGGGAAAAACATGCTATTTAGAATGCTAAAAAGATAATCTACTTGTTTCAATTATGTTGAATTGGATGAATGTGCCTTGACAATTGAGAACGACCTTTGTGGAACAATTGTTACAATCCTCAATGTGTCAGACCTACAACTACAGTGAAATGGAACTCAGTTATGGTTCTGTTTCCCATAAAAATAAATCCATAACAAGTTCACAGTTCTTTACAAAGCAGATGTCCACAGTAAAACATCTGTATTTAGCTATGTTAGCAAGTGCTTTGGCCTCTGCCTCCCTGATGATCGGTAAGACTCTCCCTTTCTATTTCCAGATCTGGCTTGGTGCGTCTCAACCTAGCCCACCTCCTGAACTGAGGGTCAAAGATGGAGTTAATTTGCCCTGAAGCTCATACAGGGAGTCCCACTCTTAAGAATTCAGAGACAGGAAATAGTGAGTCCTCAGCTGACTCAGGACACCAACAGAATATTTAGAGACTATGTTTGCCAGTGCTTTGGTTCCCTCCTGCCAAGACTACCAAAACTTTAAGAGAAGATTTGTTGACCTAGAAAGAGCACAGTGAAAACTCAGTGACTGTTCTACTTTAAGGTATAAAGCTGCTGAGTTTCTTTCCCTGGTTATAATTTATCAAAAAAGGTGACTATGTTGATCAGAACTTCTAACTGTTCAATGTTGTATTTTTTGTAGACTGATAATTTGAGGCTTGGGAGACCTGTAGTTCAATTTATGCCATACTTGCAAGCATTTCAATCTCAGATTTGATACAGTTTAAAGCTTAAAGAGAAGCCCACATATTGGAACAAATCATCAGGAATGTAGAATAGCCAGACAGAGAAACTATACAAACCTGTATTTATTTAGTATGACAACAGTAAGAAGAATTCTTAGTTACAGCCTCAATTTACCTTTTTTTTTTTTACATTTCATATTAGCTCAATTACATTGAAAACTATCAAACTACTATTTAACAACAAATGTATTTGATATGTTTTCAAAGTAATAGCATCATTTTCTGATCAAAGGTAAAGTGGATGTTGTGCAGAGCTAGGAATCTTCATTAGAAACTTTAGATCCTCAGTTCTAGTTTTAATCTAGCAAATGAAAAGCTGCAGCTCTCTGATTAATTTCTATTTTTAGAGCATAAATCTAATATTAAATAATGTAAAGTTAATTATCAGACTGATAGAATTAATAAGATTTATTAAGATTATAAGAGGGAAATAGCTCAATAAAAATATTTTATGATTTAATTAATATCACTTGGAAATTTTAAAAATATATTGTTTTCATGGATATACCCTTGGTTGGGGTAGATCTCAGAGTGTTACTGAAATCTATTATTTATTGCAAAGCTCTTTTTGAAACTTCTAAGGAATAAGCAATCTTAGGATACATTTCATACAGCAACCTTCTAAAGTCTAAAGCCTTAATCTGCAGAGTTTTCCTCAGGGAAATGCTATTAAATGTAATTTCTTTTCTTTTCTTCCAGTAATGTGAACAATACCTTCAGCTCTGCAAGCTGATAAGTTATTTCATTTGTAATAATCCAAGTACAATAACCTTTTAATGAAATGCTTAGTTCATCTACTCTATTGTGGTTCTTCTTAGCTGTGGTATTGATTTAATTCTACCTTTCCTCCAAGTTCTTGGTCCCATCTAAGATACTACAATATAGTAATACCCTGTATTTTTCCAAAAATATTCAACATCAAATCCTTTCTACCCTTCAATTTTTAACTTAAATCCTCTTTTTTGTAAAGATTCTTAACTACTGTGGTATGAAACCACTGAAATCACTATTATCCAAAGTTCTATTGTATTTGTTAAAAACAAACACACACACAGCATATGCAGTATCTATATTTCAATAACTCAGGGCAATGCAATTTGGGTCCAAATAGTTCTATAATTATTTTGTTTGCTAATTCTATTTTCCTTACAGATTATAAGAAATAAATTTCTTATGTAGCTTTATATATTTCACAGGGCCTACAATTTTCACTCATTCATTCAAGAAATATTTATTGTGTTTATTGTATATTATTCCATGTACTAGGTAGCAAGTAGATAAATTCCAATTTCATGAACTCCAATCTAACAGCATAGAAAAATTTAAAAATAATTGAAATAAAAGTTGATTATGCTTCTGATGCAGGTAAACAGGTAACTTCAAGTTAATATGAAGCACTTAACTGGTAAAAAGAAAATAATATTTAAGATAAAACTGAAAAAGAACTAAGAATTAGCCAGATTAAAAGTAAACTGAGTGATACAATCAGAGAGTCCTAGATTCAAAGTTTGAGTTCCCTAGTGTCAACACTGAAAAGATATTAAAAAAAAAAATGTTTGGCAAAGTTGTTTTGATACTTGGATACATTTCTGTCAACACGGATAACATGGTCTTCAAGTCTAAACTTTTTTGATTTTAGTCTTTAAGGTAATTTTTTATTACTCTGAGGCAGGAAAATGTCAATTTTGCTTACTTCTCTTTTCTATTTTTTTTCTTTGAATTCTGTGGCTTTAATAACAGATGTACAATAGTCATGTTCTTAAATTGCTTCAGAAAACAAGAGCATAAAAAATTCCATTTAGGTGCCAACAGATGAGACAGCATAGATTCTGGAGGAGAGAAACAGAAGGACAGCAGGAAGACACACTTTGAGGACGGGAAGGTGGTGAGATAACAAAAACCTTGAGAGCAGCAAGCTTCCACCAAAGAGAAGAAATGACTGCACTATGAGAGCAGGGCTTTTCTTTCCCCTAAATTAATACTCTAGTCCCTCAGGGCACAAGTTAAGAATAACACTAACCCCCAGAGCTACTGGGTAGTGATCAACTTTTCTTTTACACAGCCAAGGGATTTTGTTCATACACAGAGGACACCCCTGTGTACTGTGGTGCTGAGAGAGAGGAAAGAGCTGGTTGCATTTTTCCATCCCATTAGCTGCTGGCCACCTGAGTGAGGAAAAAAACAAAACTAAATGACACAGTTAACACAGACTGCAGTTTTTTAGCTTGTGATTGTGAGACATGGTATGTGAATCAAAGAGATTCAAAGAAATAAATGGCCTTGACCCCAGGAAAACTTCTTGCAGAAATTCAAATTCAAATTGTCTCTTTACACAGTTTTGGTAAGCAGCACCCAAGATATATTAGAAACTGGTTGATGATTTTTCTTTAAAATTTCTTGACCTGAATTTCTTCACCTCTGTCAATTTGTGAGTTTTTAACATTTGACAACCTGTGGCTGTCAATGTTTGATGGGATAAAATTAGACTGTTTAAATAATGCTTCAAAAATCTTAAAGGGTTAAATAGATTAACCCTTTTATGGAGAATATAGGCTTAGTATAGAACCCCTAATAACTGATTAGTTCAGTGCTCTTATTGGACTAATACAAAACAATCATCATTCATTACTCAAGAAAAATTCTGTGTCCTCGATAAAATATAGACATTAATTCAATATACTACATAATACTTAGACACATTGAAATTAAACTAAAACCAAACCATGAAATATCATTTTCCAAAGTTATTTCCAAATTATAGGAAAGTAAATATTCTCTTTATATATCCATATATTATGGCATGAAATGTGGATCTTAAAATCCACATCATGGTCCTGGTTGTTAGTATTCACATTTCAAAATGCTCTGACCTGGTCTAGCCTTAAGAATTAATTCAAGCTATTTTTTTCTTAGCAATCAAAAAAACCTGTGGAATAAGTTACTTCAAGTTTTATGAAATCAGTGCTGACTCCTCCTGAATTCTTATTAGAGACAGTGCCAGGCATGGGTAGGGTGGGGTGGGAAGAGGCAGCCAGGCATGAAAAGGAAGAGAACTGGCATTGGAATTTATAACAAAGGACTAACTATAAAATCTACCTAACTGTTTTCTACGATGTTCATTACAGCACCATATACAAAAAGGTAATTTAAATTAATTTTGTATTAGAGTAACAAAGATTTCACAGTTTACTATAGAGGTTAAAAGCAGGCCAAAAGCCACCACTAGTCAATATTTTTAGAGAATGGATGAATTACGTTATCTCATCGAATGAGCACTGATTTCAAGTGTAGTTGTTCTAGTCCATGGTTGTATTTGTCTTGCCCTATGTAACATTTTGGTCAAAACTGAGGTAAAATTCTCTTATATCAGCTAAAACATCCATTTCTTCTGAGTCTTAGCCTGGAGATTGGTGAGATTAAGTGGTTTATCAGCTGGGGTAACCATAGGTTCAGAACCCCAATTCTAAAACCTCCAACCCACAAAAAACCTTTTTCGTGATTTCTACAAGTTCTTGTGGCCAGCATTTTCATTCTTTTTGCAATCTTCTGATCTTGCACCTTTGTGCGTTGCCCTGAATCAGTCTGGATGCTAAGGCCTAGTCATTTCTCTTGTTCTTTTTCCTCTTATAGAAAAAAAAAAAAGAAAGAATCCTCTTGCACTAAATACTTCTATTAGTTAGTGCTGTAATTAATGAAATTACAGAAGCCACGCTGTGCCCCACTGACCTCTAACTGTATCCTCCCCTCCTTCTCTCCAGCAACACTCAAGGACCTCCATGTTTCTGGCACGATTACCTGGCAATTCTTCCTACACTCAGGATCATACAGGGTCTCGGATTTGACCCTTAAACTAATCAACATATTTACCAAACAAGAAAACAAAACAAACGACAACAAACTAACGTCTTCTTCACAGGAATTCTCATGAACAAAATGTCCACATCTCATCTTTTTGGGAGAAATTTCAAGAACTCTAGATCTGATAGAGTGCCTGATGAACCATGGACAGAGGTTTGTGACATTGTACAGGAGACAGGAATCAAGACCATCCCCAAGAAAAAGAAATGCAAAAAAGCAAAATGGCTGTCTGAGGAAGCCTTACAAATAGCTGTGAAAAGAAGGCAAGTGAAAAGCAAAGGAGAAAAGGAAAGATATACCCATTTGAATGCAGAGTTCCCGAGAATAGCAAGGAGAGTTAAGAAAGCCTTCCTCAGTGATCAATGCAAAGAAATAGAGGAAAACAACAGAATGGTAAAGACTAGAGATCTCTTCAAGAAAATTAGAGATTCCAAGGGAATATTTCATGCAAAGATGGGCACAATAAAGGACAGAAATGGTATGGATCTAATAGAAGCAGAAGATATTAAGAAAAGGTGGCAAGAATACACAGAAGAACTGTACAAAAAACATCTTCACAACCCAGATAATCATGATGGTGTGATCACTCACCTAGAGCCAGACATCCTGGAATGTGAAGTCAAGTGGGCCTTAGAAAACATCACTACGAACAAAGCTAGTGGAGGTGATGGAATTCCAGTTGAGCTATTTTAGAAAAGGCAGAGGAACCAGAGATCAAATTGCCAACATCTGCTGGATCATCAAAAAAGCAAGAGAGTTCCAGAAAAACATCTATTTCTGCTTTATTGACTATGCCAAAGCCTTTGACTGTGTGGATCACCATAACCTATGGAAAATTCTGAAGGAGATGAGAAAACCAGACCACCTGACCTGCCTCTTGAGAAATCTGTATGCAGGTCAGGAAGCAACAGTTAGAACTGGACATGGAACAACAGACTGGTCCCAAACAGGAAAAGGAGTGTGTCAAAGCTGTATATTGTCACCCTGCTTATTTAACTGTGTGCAGAGTACATCATGAGACACGCTGGGCTGGAAGAAGCACAAGCTGGAATCAAGATTGCCGGGAGAAATATCAATAACCTCAGATATGCAGATGACACCACCCTTATGGCAGAAAGTGAAGAACTAAAGAGCCTCTTGATGAATGTGAAAGAGGAGAGTGAAAAAGTTGGTTTAAAGCTCAACATTCAGAAAACTAAGATCATGGCATCCGATCCCATCACTTCATGGCAAATAGATGGGGAAACAGTGGCTGACTTTATTTTTCGGGGCTCCAAAATCACTGCAGATGGTGACTGCAGCCATGAAATTAAAAGACACTTACTCCTTGGAAGGAAAGTTATGACCAACCTAGACAGCATATTAAAAAGCAGAGACATTACTCTGCCAACAAAGGTCCATCTAGTCAAGGCTATGGTTTTTCCAGTGGTCATGTATGGATATGAGAGTTGGACTATAAAGAAGGCTGAGCGCAGAAGAATTGATGCTTTTGAACTGTGGTGTTGGAGAAGACTCTTGAGAGTCCCTTGGAAACAGCAAGGAGATCCAACCAGTCCATCCTAAAGGAGATCAGTCCTGGCTGTTCATTGGAAGGACGGATGTTGAAGCTGAGACTCCAATACTTTGGCCACCTGATGCGAAGAGCTGACTCATTTGAAAAGACCGTGATGCTGGGAAAGATTGAGGGCAGGTGAAGAAGGGAACGACAGAGGATGAGATGGTTGGATGGCATCACCGACTCAGTGGACATGGGTTTGGGCAGACTCTGAGAGTTAGTGATGGACAGGGAGGCCTGGCATGCTGCGGTCCATGGGGCTGCAAGGAGTCAGAAACGACTGAGCGACTGAACTGAAACGGAAAGAACTTCTTAGCTATACTTAACAACAGAAGTAACCATCATCAACTGACTCCAGAAGCACTTTTATATGTTGGGACTTGATCTCCCTCTGGCCTCTCTATACTTCAAAACATGATTAGAGATTTTGCTAGACATGAGGTTGGAAGTTGAGGGTGGGGTGAGAGGTATAAAGGCATAATGAAGAATAAACATTGTATAAGTATTTATAAGAAGAATTTTAAAAAGCCTAAAGGAAACAAAGCAGCAGATAAAGCAGAAGCAGGAAATCCAGCACAAGGTTCAGTCTTAAACAAGGCAGATAAGTGCCACCCTCTTCCCGGCCCAGTGGCACCTCAGAGACCTCAGCTCCTTCTTGAGCCCTGGGTTCACATGGCCCTCTGACAGTTAACAATCAGACACATAAGGAACACAGTGCCCAGTGATGAAGTTGGATTCAACAAAAAGCAACTTGCTAAAAGGAATTATGTTTAGTTCAAAATATGACTCAGGAGAAGTGTGAATATGATGGCTTCCATCAGTAGGACTCACCGTTTCTAGAATGAAGATATTTAAGCATTTGAAACGATAGCATCTACATTGCATATTTTCTTATGGTACCTGAAATATAAAATTACAAAAGCAGTATTTCTGTTCCTTATTTTTCCTCCCTACCTTCCTCCACAAGCACTTATTGATACTCTATGATGAGCACTGAGCTAGGATATGAAAATATGGAGATAAAAGTATAGCTCTTGCCTTAAGAAGTTCAGAATCCAGGAGAATTCAGACATAATCCTGACAATAAAACTGACCACTATGCACTAAGACAGAAGTGAAACAAAGTCTTATGAAGGTATATGCAAGCAAGTGTGCTAAGTTTCTTCTGTCCATGGGATTCTCCAGGCAAGAATACTGGAATGGGTTGTCATTTCCTTCTCCAGGGCATCTTCCCAACCCCGGGATAGAACATGTGTCTCTTATGTCTCCTGCATTGGCAGATGGATTTTTCACCACTAGCGTCACCGGGAAGCCCATGAAGGTATACAGTACAGGCTAAAGTAAGAGAGTCAGGAGTCCTTTTTGGAAGAAGGGGTATCTGAGCTTGTTTTGAAGGGTGAGTAGCTGGTTACTGAGGAAGGAAGGAAAGGATGCTACATGCAGAGGCCATAGCAGAAGCAAAAGCTCTGAGAGCATGTGGTTTTTCTGTGAATGTGCAACTGAGGGTGTAACTGGAAGTCTGGCTGTGGTGCGTGAGCAGGGATGACGGGATGGGTCAAGTGTGCCAAGAATTGACTAAAAAAGTCCTGTTCCCGGAGGGCAGGGGAGGAGCTGTGTGGGATGAGGTCCCTATGGCAGCAATATGGAAGATGGGGGAGGGAATTAAGAAGTGAACCTGAATGAAAGCCTCATTTGGGGACATAAAGGAATCCAGATGGGAAGGAAACCCAGATCCAATTAAATCAGTGTCCAGCTCTCACACCCAAATTGAGACCTTCTCATGACAGCCTCCCAGGGAGAGAGAGGGAAGCAGGAAAGCTGAGGTGCTCCATAACATCTCCTCAGAAGCTTCCCACCCTCTCGAGTTCCAGCAGTAGCACAAGGCATTCCACCAAGACTCACGTTAGCTGCAGTTCAAGTCTTTGCCTACATGGCCTATTTGTAGACATGCAAGGTCATCAATGTGTCATGGCAGAGCCACCTGCCTGTAGGCAGTGGTAGGCAGTTTGTAAGGAAGAAGTAAAGAATTGAGGCAATGATTAAACTAACAGAACAGAGAGGATGGTAGCTAAGTAGGACATCAAGAATAATGCCCAGGTTTCTGCCTGAAGCAACTTAAGTGCATAATGAAACATTCATGGAGATAAACTATGTGAGTGCTACAGAATAGGAGCCTCAATTTGGAGGTGAGGGGATGAGGAATGGTAAGACGAGATGAAGTAGGAGTTGACATGTCAGCTTGAGTTGTACTGTGGGACATCCAAGGAGCAAGAGAGTAGGCAATTCAGTACGTGATTTGCAAGCTCCTAAGAGAGTTCTGGCCTGAAACTAGGGAGCTCCAGGATGCAGGTAGGAGTTAAAGCCACAAGAAAAATTGAGATCAAACAGGAGAGTGTACAAGGTGAGTAGGAGGCATTTATAATATCAAAAATTATGGTTTTTAAAAATAAATGTTCTCAAATAACAACAATCGCATAACTATTAGAATCATTACCGGCAAATATTTTAAAGAACTCCATCCCTTCTCTTCTTGTGGCTGGATAGACTTTTAATTGTTTGGTGAGATCAAGTTTATAAAAGGAAATTGGTCACTATGGAAACAGGCTATCCAGTATCAAACAGGCAGTTTTACCACAAAAGGGTAATTACTTTAGTTTTTCCCTTAATTGTATGTTTTCATGGTTTTCAATAATCATATATCCTTTTGGTTAGAAATTTTCAGTGAGTTAATGACCTAATAAGCAAAAGCAGAAACACTAATCCATAGCTCTTTGCCCAGGTGGCTTACTATGGGCACCACAGATCCATACATTTTGTGACTGCTATAGTCTACATTTCAGTGGGATGTGCAATTCACCCAATTTCTATAGGCAGCCTAAGTCTAAATGAACAGAGTCACAAGGATGGTGTCTCCATGTTTTCCTTCACGGCCAAAGCTCTTTTGTTAAGAACATGTTAATTTCATGTTACTTATCAATCATTATTCTAGGCTGCAGTGAAAATCTAAAGCTGTGTAAGAAAAGAAGAAAATTTATACAAAATTTCAGTAATTTCAAAATTATACAAAATTTCAAAAATTATGTCACCAAAAATACTAAACAAAACTCATGAAAATTCTTACAATGTAATTGTCTTCTTTAGTTCATTATCCTATATTTTTAAACTCAGGACGCATTCATATTTAAATAATGTTACTTCACTAACCTTATCCAAAAAACTTTGTATCTCTGCTTCCTGGTTCTCTGTGTAAGTGATATATCTATGTCTCCCAATGGAAGCAATTATCTGCGTCTCTTTTTCCAGAAGTTCACACAAAGCAGCTTTCCTTTCAGCTCCAGTGAAAGACTGGTTAATGCGTGTGAGTTCTTCTTGCCGCCAGACTACAGGAATAACATGAAAGACTCTTGACTTTTTAAACACCCACATCTTTACAGAGCATTTTTTACTATCACATCCTCACAAGCAGTATTTTATTTTTATATCAATTTAAATAAAATTATACGCAAATAGCATCACTCATGTTGTACACCTGATACATGAAAAAACAGGATGAAATGGAAGCTGAGACAAAGCAATAAAAGTAGAGTCAAGCAAACAGAAGTCGTAAGACATCAGCACAGATGATGTCAAATTATGCCTCCAGGTAAGCATACACACACCCCCAGTATTGGGAAAAATACGGCCTGGATTTAAAGCAGCCATGAATGCGTCTTGCTCAGCTTCCCTCTAAGAGAACGACTGTAGCTAGGAGGCCAGGTGGCTGACAGTACCAGCTACAGCATTTCAGATCTGCAACCATGTTGGAGCAGAGGCCATACTCTTCTCACCAAGCTGTCAGTCAAAAAGTAAGAACCACGGGAGAAGAGGGCCTGGCCAAGGCTGCCCAACAGTGGCCTCTTCTGTGGCCAGTTATTATATCGGAGCTGACCATCTGGCTGGCTCAGACTGCCTCAGAGTTGTCTGTCTGAGGATCTCCATCCCGCATCCTTTCTCGTTCCCTCTCTCAACTTTCACAGGTGTCAACTCATATCTCAGTCTGAAGACTCTGTCTTTCCCCGCTCTCCCTTCCCTTTATCTTTACTTCAAACTCCATCCTGGTGTCTGCTTCTGCCAGTACCCAAATTGACAGTTTTATGTAGAACTGTTGACTTCAATTGTTTTCTTCATTACTAGCACTTTTAGTACCATTTTCCATCTCTTTACAAAATCCTAATTGTATCAGCAAATGTTATGAAATAATTACATTTACACCTAACTCGAACCAATGAATTAAAATAATTTAATTCAATAATGAATTAAAATAATATTTACAACATTTTAAAGTGTGGGTTTGAGGACTTCCCTGGTAGCTCATTCAGTAAAAAGCAAACCTGCAAAGCAGGGTTTGATTCCTGGGTTAGAAAGATTCCCAGGAGAAGGGAATAGCAACCCACTGCAGTATTCTTGCCTGGGAAATCCCATGGACAGATACTTTGGTGGGCTACAGTTCATGGGGACACAAGAGTTGGACATGACTTAGCGTTGGACACCACCAAAGTGTTGTTGTTATCCAGTCCCTCAGTTGTGTACGATTTTTTGCAACCACATGGACTGTAGCACGCCAGGCTTCCCTGTCCTTCACCATCTCCCAGAGTTTGCTCAAACTCATGTTCATTGAGTTGGTGATACCATCCAATCATCTCATCCTCTGTCGTCCCCTTCTCCTCCAGCCTTCAATCTTTCCCAACATCAGGGTCTTTTCAAATGAGTCAGTTCTTCACATCAGGTGACTGAAGTATTGGAGCTTCAGCTTCAGCATGTCCTTCCAATGAATATTCAGAGTTGATTTCCTTTAGGATTGACTGGTTTGATCTCCTTGCCGTACAAGGGACTCCAAGAGTCTTCAATGCCACAGTTCAAAGGCATCAATTCTTTAGCATTCTGTTTCTTTATGGTCCACCTCTCATATCCATACATGACTAACAGAAAAACCATAGCTTTGAATGTACTTTGTTGGCAAAATAATGTCTCTGCTTTTTAATACACTGTGTAGGTTTGTCATACCTTTTCTTCCAAGGAGCAAGCGTCTTTTAATTTCATGGCTGCAGTCACCATCTGCAGTGATTAAAGTCTCTCACTGTTTCCACTGTTTCCCCATCGATTTGCCATGAAGTGATGGCACTGGATGCCATGATCTTAGTTTTCTGAATGCTGAGTTTTAAGCCAGCTTCTTCACTCTCCTCTTTCATCTTCATCAAGAGGCTCTTTAGTTCCTTTTCGCTTTCTGCCAAAGGATGGTGTCATCTGCATATCTGAGGTTATTAATATTTCTCCCCGCAATCTTAATTCCAGCTTGTGCTTCATCCAGCCCAGCATTTCACGTGATGTACTCTTCATGTAAATTAAATTAGTAGGGTGACAATATACAGCCTTGACATACTCCTTTCCCAATGTGGAACCAGTCTGTTGTTCCATGTCTGGTTCTAACTGTTGCTTCTTGACCTGCATACAGGTTTCTCAAGAGGCAAGTAAGGTGGTCCAGTATCCCATCTCTTTAAGAATTTTCCACAGTTTGTTATGATCCATACATTCAAAGTCTTTAGCTTAGTCAGTGAAGCAGAAGTAGGTGTTTTTCTGGAATTCTCTTGCTTTCTCTATGATCCAGTAGACGTTGGCAATTTGCTCTCTGGTTCTTCTGCCTTGTCTAAATCCAGCTTGTACATTGGGAAGTTCTTGGTGCACATACTGTTGAAGCCTAGCTTGAAGGATTTTGAGCATTACCTTGCTAGCATGTGAAAAGAGTGCAACTGTAAAGTAGTTTGAACATTCCTTGGCATTGCCCTTCTTTGGTATTGGAATGAAAACTGACCTTTTCTAGTCCTGTGGCCACGGCTCAGTTTTCCAAATTTGCTGGCATATTGAGTGCAGCACTTTAACAGCATCATCTTTTCGAATTTAAAATAACTCAACTAGAATTCCATAACCTCCACCAGCTTTGTTCATAGTGATGGTTACTATCAATAAAAAATGTGTTGCACACTACAAAGTGTTGGTTACTATCAACAAAGAATGTGTTGCACACTACAATATATAAGATAGGTAATCAAGGAGGACCTACTACATAGGAGAGGTAACTGAACTCAGTACTCTGTAATAACCTGTAGTGGGAAAGAATCTGAAAAAGAACATGTGTGTGTGTGTGTGTGTGTGTGTGTGTGTAAATCACTTTGCTGTATACCTGAAACTCACACAACTTTGCTTCCCTCATAGCTCAGTTGGTAAAGAAGCTGCCTGCAATGCAGGAGACCCTGGTTCGATCCCTGGGTTGGGAAGATTCGCTGGAGAAGGGAGAGGCTACCCACTCCAGTATTCTTGGACCTCTCTTGTGGCTCAGCTGGTAAAGAAGCTGCCTGCAATGTGGGAGACCTGGGTTCAATCCCTGGGTTGGGAAGATCCCCTGGGGAAGGGAACGGCTACCCACTCAGACATGACTGAGTGACTTTCATACAACATTGTGAGTCAATTATACTCCAATATAAAAAAATTTTTAAAAAGAATGTGTTACCAAAAAAAAGAATGTGTTACATGAAATACACTCTAAAAGCAAATCATAAAATGCCAGAGAATAGCATTTTTATAAACTTAATTTACCTAAAGATTATGCTACATTCTTAAAATTAACCAGAGAAAATACAGAGTACTAGATCCTACCCCAAACTTACAAATCAAAATTTCTGGGCTAAGATATATTTATTTTAACAAGCACTACATTTATTTCTTATACATTATAAATTTGGGGAAGAAAACTGTTTTATATCCAACATTGAAAAAAATGTCAAACTTACATTAAAGGAAAAACAGTGTTGGAAAGAACCTTAGAAATTAAACAGTTCAACACTCGTCCCCATTTAAGATGGATTCTCCTCCTAGCAGTGTGGACAGATTTCATTTGCTCACCCTGGTCCCAGTCCTAGTCTGTGAGGCAAAACATAGTCAGTCTACTCTGCACGACATGGCACCAGAGATAACTGTCACAGTACACTTAGATTTTCTCTTTTCCAGACAAAAGCTCTTCCCTTTCTTAAACTGTATATAATTTGACATAATTTCATGTCCCATCCAGGTCTAGTTTCTTTTTAATATATGACATGCCAAGTTTCTGACAAGATGAAGGTTTGTATACAGACTGCTAGCTACCCTCTCCTACGTTCTTCTAGAAATGATACAAGAAAAATGAAATAGGGGGAGGAAAAGGAGAGACTGGAATCAATACTAGAAGTCAGAGAGAGGTGTGATCCACGTGGTAGAAACTTTCAGGGAAGTTCTTTAAGACACAGTTGTAGCTACCACTGGAAGACACTCAAGAAGGCACAAGTGTTGTCCCTCAAACAGCTGCTGTCTCATCTCAGAAAGTGAATGCTCTAGCAGAAGGTAGCAAACTTTAATTCAAGGACTCAGAACTAGAGCAAAGGGTGGGCTATAAATCCATTTGATAGTTAACCTCTTTTAAGAACATCTTTGGCAAACTTTAAGAAGGAATAAAAAAAGAAGCTTACATTTCAAATCATTGCAGAAAATATTAACAATCATAAATGTTTGTGCAGAAAAAGACCAAAAAATTAGAAACAAAAAGCATAAAGCAAGATGACAGAAGCAAAATCAGACATAATGATTAATTTAAAAATATGAAATGGCTCAATTTTTGACTGAAAATAAAATGTTATATTTCTTTAAAAATCCAATGACATAATATTTTCCAAAGGTACACTTAAAGTGATGCCAAAGACTAAGGTCAAGCACAAAAGGATGATAAATATGAACAACAACAAAAAAACAGATGCAGCAATATTAATATTTTGAAAATAGGAGGGAAAAGACTAAAAACTCAAACCTTGGAGTAGAAGATAATTTTATGATGAAAGGTATGACTTTCATCAATTTTATGATGACCGCCATGAATATTTATACTGAAAATCACAGCCCATCAAGCCATATAAAGCAATACTTCTATCAGTTATAAACACTACTATGGTGAGTATATTTTACTTTATATAAACAAACAGAATGCAAATGAGTTAATCTATGAGAGTCAAGTAAAGAATTAAAAATCAAATTGCCAAAGTATGATTAACAAGTTGAAATTAACATACATCAAGCTCTAAACATCAAAGATGAAAGTGTATCTTGTTTTCAAAGCTCTATGAAACATTTACATAAATTTAAATAAATTCTATAAATTTAACTAAATTTAAAGAAAATCAACCCTGAATATTAATTAAATTTATATAAATCTAAATGAATTCTATACATTTAAAGGAAATCAACCTTGAATATTCATTGGAAGGACTGATGCTGAAGCTCCAATACTTTGGCCACCTGATGTGAAGAGCCAACTCACTGG